TATCCTAACCTTAATCCCATTTTATATCCTAACCTCAATCCCATTCTACATCCTAACCTCAATCCCATTTTACATCCTAACCTCAATCCCATTTTATATCTTAACCTTAATCCCATTTTACATCCTAACCTCAATCCCATTCTACATCCTAACCTCAATCCCATTTTACATCCTAACCTCAATCCCATTTTACATCCTAACCTTAATCCCATTTTACATCCTAACCTCAATCCCATTCTACATCCTAACCTTAATCCCATTTTACATCCTAACCTTAATCCCATTTTACATCCTAACCTCAATCCCATTTTACATCCTAACCTCAATCCCATTTTGTAGATAAAGAAACAGACATCAAATAATCAAACAAGCTTCCAATTTTGGCAAATGACAGGCGTGTCTGCTCATTCCCTCCACATAAATCACACTCCAACCAAAGTGAATTTCTATAGGTCAATGAGGGGCCCTAACTATTGGCAAAGCCAGCCTATACATAGCCCCAACACAAATAAAACTGGGTGAATAACCCCTCTAAATATTCACTTTACGGTGTCTACATTTTACTCACTCTAGAGTATGTCCTAGAGCCAAAGGCAATATCTAGAGTCTAAGCTCGTTTGTGACTTGTGTTATGACCTTAAGTAAGACTTTCAAGAACAGGACTGGGTAACACAGTGAAAACAGCCTAGACTTGAGTCGAATTAATTGAATTCAGTGCTGCCAATCTCCATTAGCAATGCAACCTTTTTACACAAGGTCCTTTGCATAAGCACACAGGTATATGTAGATAGTGTATTTGCATGGGAATGTGCTCATGTATGTATGTGTACACATAAACACGTATACTTCTAGTTAGGGTCATTTTGAACTATAAGCTGTTAGTACACATTTAATTTTCACATTAAATTGCATGACGCATATAAAGCACGCAATACTGTGTTGGAGAATATGAGCATTGTTTTGACTGGTAGTAGTAGAGGTAGCATTTGATGGAAGGAGTAGTGAGGAGGGGAGAGGGACACAGCTCACTTTCCAAATATCATCCAGCTAATATCTGGTGACTGAATTGGGATCTGTTTGTCTCCAAAGCAGAACTATAGGTTCTCCCAATCTGGCAGTAACAAAACCACAGTCTTCAAATGAGATCAAGTTTCCTGGCACATGCATCTGTCACGGGCGGGTGGCAGGCCGTATGACAACTCAAGTCCCTTCCTGGCCTAGCATTGTTTGCGTCTGTGAAGCTTTTGCCAACTGTAGACTGATGGGGCACAGTGAGGACCTGGCCTGGGAGCCTCAGATGCACAGCCAACCTGCTAGCAGCCATGCAAATCCTGGGGAGACAGCTGCTCCAATGTCTGTTCCTCTCTGGAAAGCTCTACCCTCACCAGGTTTCGGTGACATGTTATTTTAGAGAATGATCCCCCTGCTCCTACTTTCTTCCCCCTCACACCCTAAAAGAGAAGCATGCAGCTGCTCCTACTGCTGGTATCTTGTGTTTTTCTCTTTCATTTTTCTGTGCCTGGGAACAGTTCACCAAGGATTTCACTTTCAAAACCAAATGTCACCATTACCTAATCCTTACTGAATGTGTCGCTCTGTGAATCTCACTGCAGGTCCATTTTAAATTAACCAGTTTCCAGGAATGCTTAGCAAAAAGTAGGCCATATGGGGGTGGGGAGCCCAGGCTGGCAGCTCCTGAGGACTCATTCACACTCAGGGTCCCACAAGGCCTGACCTCCTACAGATGCAGTGTGGAGACAAGGACACAAAGCCAGCTCTGAATCACATGGGGTTCCACGTGTGAGCACTTGAAAATTACTATTGTGGCTAACAGAGCTTCAGCTGGAAGGCATCAAGGTCAACTTTACATTCCTTTTATTTTCACAGGTGCTTGGGTTTGAACTCCGGGCCTCACACTTGCCAGGTAGAAACTTTACCACTTGAGCCACACCATACCCTCAGCCTTTTTTTTTTTTTCCTTTAGCTGTTTTTCAAACAGTCCTCCTATTTGTACATCCTGCATAGCCGGGACAATAGATGTGCACCACTATATCCTACTTTATCAGTTGAGATGAGGTCTCACTAACTTTTCACTGGGGTGGTCCTGGAGCCATGATCCTCCCGATCTCCGCCTCCCAAATATCTGGATTACAGGTGTGAGCCCTTGCACTGGGCCTCACTCTACATTTCAAAAGAGTGAAGAGCATATGGAAACCACCCAGAATCTGGACAATGGGACAGAATATTTGCAGTGAGAATCAGGATCTCAGAGTGACCTCTTAGTCCATTTGCACTGCTATAACAAAATATCTTAGACTAAGTAATTGATCAACAAAAGAAATTTCTTGGCCACCGTTCCAAAGGCTGGGAAATCCAAGATCAAGGCATAGGTTGATTGGATATCTGGGGAGGGCTCCCTTCCAGTGCCTTCTATACAGCCCCAAGTGGAGGAAAAGACACAAAAGCTCCCCCAGGCCTCTTCTACAAAGGAATGACTCCCATTCATGAGGCTCTGTCCTCATGACCTAATTCCCTCTCAGATACCCCACCATTTACTACTACAGCTCTGCGGGTCAGATGGCAAGGCAGGACTTTATGGGCCATAAGCATTCAGGTCACTGTGCACCTCCAACGTGCTTGACAGGGAGCGAGGAGCCACCTGCTGTATTTAAGGTCTGGAACTTGGAGGAAGCATGAATAATAGTGTAGTGTAGAAGGATGGATTTGATCGTCTTAAGGCCCTGGTCAACCCCAGTAATAAGCTTGGAGTCGTGGTGGCAAAAGAGAGTTGTGTTCCCATGTCATCCAAGCTACCTGTGCCAATCTTCCAAATTCTAAACACTGAGTAATGATAGTAGCAGTTATTACACTGTCCCTTTCCCCCTTTTTACCTAAATCCTTCACCTCATTTCATCTTCATAAGCACTGTCGGTGGTATTACAATCATTTCACAAATGCTGAAACAGATTCCGAGAGGGAAGACGTTGGTACAAGTCACATAGCTGACATGAGTGGCCAACAACCAACACTCGTGTGTGCGCTCAACGCGGTCAATGTTATCAAGATCTGAATTCTCCCAGGGGTTCAGCGAAGAGAATGTAATTACCTGTTGTACAAGAAAGCAGCGAGGAGCTGGTGGGCTGCGCCCATGTTTCCTGCCCTGTGGTAGACTGGGTTTCTGTTGGCTGAGTTGGAGAAGGTGATGTAGCGACTAGAATGAAAACAATGGAAGAACTGTGTTTCATCTGTGGAGGGAAAAAATCTACCCTCTCCCCAACAGAAATAGAAAACAAAACTAAAATCAGAAATCACCATCAACTTCTCACAGTGCCTCACTCAGACTTCCTCAGGAGGCCTGGCTCCCACCTACCCACTTCTTGCCCTTCTTAGAAATGTAGCCAAAGATACCCCTGAGTCATTGCACCGCTCTCTAGTTATTCATCATCATGAGGAAATGTAATTTAATTAGTTTTAGCAATATACAAAATTAGTTCATACTTTCAAGTTCTACCTTTTGGTAGCGCTAGGATTGAACTCGGGGCCTTCAACTTGCTAGGCAGATACTCCACCACTTAAGCCACACTCCACTCCCTCCTTTGCTTTAGTTATTTTTGGATAGGGTCTCAAACTTTGTGCTCAAGGCTTGGACCTTCTACCTACACCCCCTGCATAACTGGGGTTGCCAAGTGTGTGCCATGCTTGGCCCTCACACTTTCTGTTTCTTCTAGATTCCTGCACTCCCTCTAAATTCACAAAGTCTGTATCACCACATCTTCTGTAGGACACCCAATTAAATTTCTATTGTATTAACACAATTGGCATTCAGTTCCGGGGAAGAAGGTCTGAGTCACACTAACCTACCCTACTTCCTTCACAACAGCCTCAATCTGGATTTCCTGGCTTTATTCAGGTTCCAGATTACCCACACATCTTTCCAAGAAGATGTACATACTGACCGACACAGAATAGATGCCATTTCACTCCTTGAGATCTTTTTAAGGTGACAGTATTGCCCGATGTCTTAGGCTTAGTACAGATCTTGGCAGAGGCTGATCCCAGCTCCTTCTGTGCCTGCATTCTAGGCATTTCTTCTGGAAGAGTGGTTTCCTGTGTTATCTGACTCATCTATTCCTCGACAAAATGTTTCCACTGGGAACTCTAATACAGGGCCATGTCTCTCTTTCTTTTCTTCAAATCCATCCTATTTTCCTATCAGATAGCTCACCTTATATTCAGAGTTAGTCACTTGCCTGTTTATAAGGTCTTTACATAACTTTATAAGGTGCTTTTAGAACACCCAGAATTTTGGAGCAAATTCCTAGTGGTAGCTGGACAAGAATTCCTAATCCTGGGTTTTCTTAATTGCCTCTCTGGTCTTTCTGTTTTTGCCCTCCCCTCTACAGTCTGGATAATTTTACCTTTTTTCAACATTACCCTCTCTCATGAACTGGATTGCTTTCTTGTTTTTCTCTAATGCTCAAAACTGTAAGAAGATGTAGCTGTCATTAAAAACAAGGACAGCACAAGAGAGTCAGATGGTCAGAGTCTGTACCCTATGTGGTTGTAAAAAGACGTCTCGAGCTTCGTTTCTTTCCCACCTCCCACCCTCCACCCCCCTCACCCCTGCTCTTACAACTTTATTTCCAGTTGTTCCATGAACGTTTTAGGCAGCTAAGCATAAGCACAGGGAGAGGTGGATATCCTAACATTATATTATTTAGAGTGATGACCTCCTTCCTACACTGGAAAGCACAACTCTAAAACTCTTTAGGAAGCTATCAGAATAAAAATAAGACCCAAATTACCATTCCCCAGTAGCCTTACGGACACAATGAGTCAATACTTCTGTTCTAAATCTCAGCTTGGCTGGTGGTATGGCAAAAAACCCAAACAAACAAAAATAAATAAATCTAAGCTTTAAGTGAGATCAGTAACTTATTCATGTTCTCCACACCAAGGTCATGAATCTGTCACCTTAGTAGGTACAAACTAAGTATTAAAATGTTAAATTGCCAGGAGTGGTGGTACACATCTGTAATCTCAGCTACTCCAGAGGTAGAAATAGGGGGATCCCAGTTCAATGCCAGTCCAGACAAAAAATTAACAAGACTGCATCTCGACAAATAAACTGGATGTGGTCTTTAATCCCAGCTATACAGGATGCATAACTAGAAAGGATCACATCCAGGACCCTATCCAAAAAATAACTAACACAGAAAAGGGCTCAAGTGTGGCTCAAGTGGTAGAGTGCCTGCTTAGCAAGCACAAGGCCCTAAGTTCAAAACCCAGTACTGCCAAAAAACAATAATAATAATAATAATAATAATAAATCCATATTGAGAAAGCTAACAGATTCTCTAGCATGTGCAGCTGCCTGGAACAATGCTATTTTTCCTGCACATTTTTATGCTCTACAATTCCATTCACATCCCAAAGCCCTCTCTTCCAAACCCTGCTTATAATCTATTCCTTCAGATTCCTCCTGGTTAAATATTGCCATGATTCAATTGGAGCCAAGGAAAATCAATATGTTTCATCAGACTTTCCTAACTAAGAGGCTGTGACATTTCTGTGTCTCCTCCAAATCCAAAGCCACCTCCAAGGGGCCAAAGGAGTTCAGGAAGCTTTGAGATGCTCCACTAAAAGTTCTCTCTTTAATCCTGAAAATAGAAGACTTGAACCTAAACGTGTCCTCTAGAGTGACAAGTTATTTCCCCACCTGCAAGTCAAGTTATTTGCCATGTGTGGTAAATCTAAACTCTTATCTGTTGGGAATTTGAAGTATGAACCATGTAGCATCCATCAAAAACGTAAGTATGTACCTTCTAAGTCCCCAGAGTCTATAAATTCAGTGCCTACTTTCATCATCAGTATAAAGAGCATCGTTTGCAAGGTCCATGCTGTATAAATAAATTAAAGAACGCTTGAAGCAAAACAGTGTTCTTAATAATTTTATAGTCTTTTTCAGGTAGGATGTCAAAATGGGACAACTCCATCCAAACTTAAAATTCAATGTTCATGATGGAAGCATGACCCAGTAGTTAAAAAGTACTGGCCCCTAAATTCAAGTTAACAGTGGATGACTCTCAACCACTTTCTTTAAATCTTTAGACATTCAACATGAATTTTCTGACTGTGTGTCTTAGCTCCTGTAACTATAAAATCGGGTTGGATCTCACCTAGGATAGATATTTAATAATTGAGAAAATATTGGAAAACATGCAACATGGCACCTGGTACCCAGGAAACAGTGTTAGCTTCCTTAAAATGTTATCCCCTGGAGGGCCCGACTTCAGGGTGGACTCAATGAGTTTAGAACCTCATTATTTTGACTCTTGTCTTCTGCCATTCCCTATCTTTTACATCATAAAGCTGTTCCCCAGCTAGGTTGGATTCTCACCAGCTCCCTCAGGTGTCCTAGATCAATGGTCCAGCTATTTCTGGCTAATAACGAACCCCTTTTGGAATCTGATTCAGCAGAGAATGGAGACCCTCCCTCTTCAAACGCTTATACCTGCAAAAGGTGTGCATAACTTGAGGGAAAGGAGGATCGTAGTCCTTGTGAAGCCCATGTTTGAGATTCAGTTAAGAACTTTCTCCTAAAGTGTACTTCTGTCTTTTCACCGTGCTCTGCATGGTCTACAGCTCCCATTCGAAGGCCTCTGGGCTCCAAAATGCATCTGTTTTACCTGTCATGTGGTTCTGTGTGTGTGCTGGCGTTGGAGGAAGAGAAGTAGAAACGCTGGTTGTCATGGCAACGCTTGTGACGCTGGCTGAAGTTAGAAACGAATATGAAAGCGAGGATTAATCAAGCAACAAGAAACAAGAGCCCGGTTCTGGAACTGAACCTAGCACACTGATAAGACACGGCCCCCAAAGAACCTGAACGTGTGTTCTTTGTCATTGATCAACTAGAATCTGGTGGCGGAGAGCTTTGGAGCCATGTTCACCAAGAAAGAAAGTGCCAGCACCGATTATGTGGGAGGTAAGAAGAGATTTCACACCTGCATGAACACTTTTTAAAAAATCAGTCATGCACATCAGAGTCACCTATTGTCACAAGCATCTCTATGAGACAGGTCTACAGAGCCTACTGTTGTTCTCTTCTCAGACCTGAAAACAGAGACTGAGTTAAACAGAGATCCCAGGCCCAGCAAGTTTCACCAATCCCAGGTAAGGGCAGCACAAAGGAGTTACACATTCGCATAGAAGGCAGACAAGACTCCTAAGGTTTTTTCCCACCTAAGAGACACAGGTTGGGTGTCTCCTATCTGAAATGCTTGGGACCAGAAGTGTTTCAGAATTTGGATTTTTTTTAATACTTGCATATAAATAACGAATGGCTTGTGAATGTAGCTCAAGTCTCAACATACAATTCACTTGTGCTTCATACATGTACACTTCATACACATAGCCTCAAAGTAAGTTTATGTAACATAAAGTGCATGACATTTTTGTTCGGGTGCGTTAAACTGTAACAAGGTTTCTGGCAACTGTACATTTAGTTTGATGCTCACTAAAATAATTTCAAACACGTTAAAATTATTCATTAAAATTCTGGGTCAGACTTTGTCATAAGAAATTGGAATTAGTGGAATTTTCCACTTGGAGAATCACTTCAAAATGCTCGAAAACTTGCAGATCTTGTAGCATTGAGGAGTTTGGATTTTTGATGAGGGAAGTTCTATAATTCACAAAGTGACAGTCAGAAGTGCTATGGGAATCCCAATGTCTTACTGAAGGATTCAGAGGTCCTCAGAGATCCAAGACTAGCGTGAGCTGAAACAGAGTGGCTGGCACAAAAGCAGACCCAATGAAGGAGTGAACCAAGCATAAATGCATAGTTTTTAGTCAGCAGGCACATTTTTTCCCCTATAAGCTGATTTCTTAAAACTTAATTCTACTAACTATATAATAAAACCTCAGAAATAGGGAACAATTGGTTTGAAAAGTCTTGTTTATGAAAGATACAATTTAAGTTGGAATCGAGCTAATTTTTCCCTTGAAGAAGGAAAAAAATTGTGGCTGAAAGCAATTAGTGAATGTAAAAGTCAGCAAACTTGTCTGCAGACAGTAAATGCTTTAGGCTTGGGGACCTAACACGTGTGGTTTCTATAGCAACTACTCTCCTGCGTTGGTTTGAAAGTAACCACTGACAACATGTAAATGGGGGTGGCTATGTTCCAATAAAACTTTATTTATAGAAAGCTGTAATAGCATCTGAGCTGCCCCTGGGCTATAGTAACCCTGATCTAATGGACAGCCAGAAGCTTGAACACAATCCAACCCCTCCCTCCACAGTTCAAAATCTGACCCAGAGAAAAAAGCAAGCATGCCAAAAGACTGGTCAGAGTGTCATAGCAGACACAAAGCAGCAGAAAGCCAGCTCAGAAGCTTTTCTTACTTAGGTGCTTTCCCACTGAGAAGACAGGAAAACTACAAAGATAGAAAGAACTGGTGAGAGATGACCTGGGGACAGCTGAATAGTAAACTCAGCGTACTTAAAGTACAAGAAAACTCGAAGAATTGGTTAGAAAAGGGTGCTCAAAGTCACTTTGGCTCAGAGATGGACTCACTTTCTGACTAGACTAAGCGGTGTCTTTGTAAGAATGTCTAAGCACAACAAAAGCTTCTATTCGTTTTATGTTATGCCAGTTTTAAAAATCCAACCAGATCAATAACATAATCTCACAACTCCAAGAAGGCTGTCACATACCCTACCGACTGCCTCCAGAGCTGTTTCTCCACATCTTCCTTCAGCACACTGTGTAGCCAGCTTCTTTGGGCTTCCCTAAACTGCCTCCAGACTTAGTTTCCCTAGAGTCAGCACTTTACTCAAACAGAATTAGCCACATCTTGCTTGCCTTTAGAAGGGAACAAACCAAGCCCCAAAGCCAAGAGATTGCAAAAGAATGTTCTTTTAATTTAAAAAAAATTAGACCAGTTACTATTGGGTTCTATTGTCAATAGAAGACCTTAGTAGAAGGAAATTTATTAAGAAACAGCACCAGAAGCCAGGAAACCTTCATGAATCTGTCCCTGTTGGATAAAATCATGAGGAAAGTCAGGATGACCACATCAGGAAGGAAAATGTAATGTTCTCAGATTTCTGGTGTGTGAACATCTTACAAGCAACTGGCAAACAGTTGTTGAAAGGTAAAAGCTTTTGTATCAGGTCATTTTAATTTTTAAGACAGCATTGTGATATATGAGCTATATTTCAAAAATCCGAGGAAGGATAGGGGAGGTAGTAGAAATACATAACTTTTTCAACAATTTGAGTTTTAGGGCTCTTGAAACCAGGTGTCTGTCTACACAGCAGTACTTTGTATTACCTGCTTTTCAGGTTTGAACTCCATTATGCTTTTAAAATGTCAAGAATGGACATTTTAACATTCTTCGAAGGCAAAACCTCAGAGGAAGGGGTGCAGTTCTTTAAGTAAATTCAGCTTGGTAAAACTATTCACTATATTTCAGGTGGAACAGTGAATGCTATTTCGTGGCCCAAGAAGCCTGTCTGAGTCCAAATTTAGCCTATTCTAGCCATGGCCTAGAATCAAGGTTGGTCTTAAGACTTCATCAACACAAATTAAAGTTATTCTGTTTCTCAAAAGCAAGTGTTGAATTGGCAAATGGGATTATAAAAACCTTGCCTTCCCCCATTTCAGGAAAAAGGAAAATTAATACCAAACAGAAAACTCAGTTAATGAAATAATCAAAGGAGATAAGACAAGCTTACCTGGCTCAATGTTCAACATCAGGTTGAATTTGACATCATTGAACCAGCCCCTGAGCTCAATCCGGCAACAGTAAGGGCCACTGTCAGCCTCCACGGTGTCCTCTATGGTCAAAGACACGTTCCCACGTGAAATCTGCCCCTTCAGTTTATACCGCAATGCCTTCTGAAATGTGACCCGATATCCATCCGTCCAGACAACTGCATCTGTGCATTTCGAGGAAGGACAGATCCCTCGGCCCCAGCACATGGTTGTAGCTCCCCCCTCATAAGTCACTGAGTAAGTGCAGGGCAGTGTGACAGGCTGACCGACCACTCCTCTCACTGGCGGAAGAGAAACTACAGCACCTGAAGTAAAGACAGGAGAAAGAGAGAATAAGGCCTCCATATTTTCCTAAAATGTTGTTTTTACTACTTTATATATTTTCTTTTTTTTTCTGTTCAGACCTGATAGCTTGAATTTTAAAATTTTAATACTAGGCACATTTTTCAGGTAGAATATTTATCAACAATTACCTAATGAATTCAATTGTGAATAAAACAATTTGCTAGCTGGGTGCTGGTGGCTCACACCTATAATCCTAGCTACTCAGGAGGCAAAGATCAAGAGGATCATGGTTCAAAGCCAACCCAGGCAAACAGCTTCTCAAGACCCTATCTAGAAAAATAAACCATCACAAAAATAGGACTGGTGAAGGGGCTCAAGGTGTAGGCCCTGAGTTCAAACCCCAGTACCGCAGAAAAAAAAGAAAAAAAAAAAAAACAATTTGCTCTGCTGAATGATAGTCATTTTCTCTCTGTCTGTCTCCTTTTTTGAGACAGGGTCTCACGCTATAACCCAGGCTTGGAACTTGGCTGTGTAGCTGGCCTCCACTGGAGATCTTTCTGCCTCACCCTTCCTAAGGGCTGGGATTATAGACCTGTACCACTATATCTGGCCTGTATCTCATTTTTACCTTTGTAAATAATCTCATAAAATCTTTCGGTATTTAGGTTTTTAGGCCCCTATGAGAAAGATTACCAGGATAAAGGCAGGAATATTTCCCAGTCTTCTTTTTTTTTTTTTTTTGGTACCTGGGTTTGATCTCAGGATCTCATGCTTGCTAGGCAGGCTCTCTACCACCTGAGTTACTCCACCAGTCCTTTTTTGCATTGAGTATCTTTGCGATAGGGTCTCAGAAACTATTTGCCTGGGGCTGGCCTCAAACTGCAATCCTCCTGATCTCTGCCTCCTGGGTAGCTAGGATTGCAGGCGTGAGTCAGAGGGGCCCTGCTATTTCCAGTCTTTTGCTGACTATAGCCAAATGGTTTTCCTAAAAGTTTGAACCAAGTGACACTCAAGTAAAACATGAGTGGGTATTTCACCCTGGGTTTGCCAGGTATCGGATATATGGAAATATGCATATAGCTTCCCCATCTCTTGCCTATTCCAGGGCCCCAGTCTTGTCTCCCAGATTTAACCACTATATCAGCTGAAATCCATTTTTTAAAAATCAATTTTTCACATTTAAGTTTCAACGTTTTATTTCTTTAATTTTTTGTTTTGATATGTAGTTGAGGCTGACCTCAAACTCACAATCCTCCTACCTCTGACTTCTGAGTGCTGGGATTACAGATATGTACCACCAAGCCTGGCTCAAATTTTTTATTTTTATTGTGTTTTAAAACTGCTGTTGCAAATGCAATCACTTCCTCACTACCCCCATCGCCTGTCGAGAAAGCAGAGCTAATGTTTTGTATAAACCAGTGCTGCTTTAAAAACAGAAGTCTAGTGTACTTCAGAAATCCATGTTCAGCTTCCAGGAGGGGCTGAAGCTTATTATGGACTTTAGGATCAGTCCAAAAAAAAAAAAATGAAAACCTAAGCAGAGGTCCCTCCTCATAGGTTGATGAGCTTGCCAACTGATCAAGACTCACTTACAGACTTGAAACTACAGAATTGGAGAATATTCAACCAAGAACTGAATTAATACCAGATGTGAAGGTACACGTCTGTGATCCCAGCACTCGTGATGCTGAGGTATGAAAATCTTGAGTTTGAGCTTGAGATAGTGAGACCCTATCTCAATTTTTTTTTTTTTACGAAACCTAAATTATATAACCTAAAAAAAATCAAAATTTAAAAGATGCATCTTCTAGGACAGAAACATTGAGAACCCAGTTGACAAGTGCTTTTAAGTTGGTGCGTAAAAGAAATCTAAGGGCTGGGGACATAGCTCAGTGGTAGAGTGACAGCCTAGCATGGGCAAGTCCTGGGTTGGATCCCCAGCACTGCAAAACAACGAAAGACAGAATAAGGAAAAAGAATCTAAGATTCACTGATGAGTCATACATAGGACTAGGCTGACAATCTGAGAAATGCTTATTGTTATATCAAATAAGAATATTTGTCTCACTGGAATTCTTGTCATTTGTTTTGCCCAATACCATTTTGGGAATAACAAATATAGCATATGCTTTTATAATTAGGTTCTAGCAATGTATAATAAAAATGAGCTTTTCCCATAATCCCAAAGATTAGTTTTTAAAATTTCAGATGTGTTTATTCAAACATTTTCCCCATCTCATAAAATGTTTTGAATTAAAATATTTCTAAATGAAATAATTACACATTTTTTTGTAAAAGGCACAAAGAATTAACTCTCCCTTCTACCTCTGACCCCCACTTTCTCACCTCAGCCTCCAACCCCATAAAACACATTACCATTTCTTATGTGCATGTATTTGTCTGAACTTTTACACATACTCACCACTTTTTTATTTAAACACAATGGCAGCTTGTGACATACTATCCTGCATCTTGCCTTGACTTAGCCATCAATTATGTAATTAGAAGTTTCTTGACAGTAAGATTTCATCCTGGCTCTCTGGCTAACCCATAGCCATCCAACAAGCTCAAGGAATATCTATCTATTTTCCTCTGCCACCTCCAGCCTCCACAAATACCACCCCAGCCCATCCACTCACTTACCTGTCATAAGTAGTAGGAGGCTTAAAATGACAACTGGAGGGTACATTTTGGTGTTGACCTGAAGGAAAAGGAAAAGGCAGGCCGGTTGGCTGTGGCCCCCACCAGATGGTGTCTAAGCAGGTTTTAGTTCTCAGGCTACAACTTCTCCTTTCTGCCTGACTGTGTGAATCACGTGGATTGCACTGCTGAGGATAAGGCAAGACCACATTCACCAGCTTCAGGGCTCTGTGAGCTCTCAGTGATGAGCACTCGGTGCCTTCCGATTAACAGAGTAAGCTGTCCTCAGAAACTGTCCCTCATCCTCCAGGTTCTTTCCCACGTACAGCCATCCACTGCACTCCTAGTTTTGACAAAGGAAATAAGGCAGCAAATAAAAAATAAACTGAAATCAGAGGCAAGATTGTGGCTCAATGGCAGAGCCCCAAAGCAAAGACCAGCCTTCTAATGGCAGAATGCATCTGTACTCTAATCGTCTTTAGCCTCAACCAGTCCTCTTACCAAGTTCACCATTAGCAAGCTGAATTTAGCAAGAATGTGAAGCACTAACTATTTCATGCTACCAGAAACAATGACTCAGATGACATCTTCCAGAGGAATGGCAAGAGAATACTTGAAGGAGGACTGGCTTCAGATCCAAGTCCTACCATTCACAAAGCTGGATAATCCTGAGAGTTACAGAATGCCTCCAAGTTTTGATTTCCTCATTTGATTAAAAAAAAAACTAAATTAAATTAAAAAACCACTAACTCTTGTCTCTCACAAAGGATTGGTACCATGAGCATTAGAACTTTGAAAAGTAGCCTAGATATGCATTAAGGACATTACCTAAGCTTTCTGGACAATCTGCTGTGTGGCAGAACTCTGAACCAAGCTCTCACAAGCATTTAATCTTTGCCAAACCACTGAGGCAGCTGGTTTTTTTAACCCCTTTCATGGAAGAGGAACCTGAGGCTTGGGGCAGTTAAGTGTACTTAGATTCCAGGTTTCTGACTTTTAAATTTTGTTCTTAATCATTAAGCCATACAGACATGAGTAAACCTGCCTAGCATTTCATTAACTGCCCTTTGACCTAAAGATGCAGTAACTTCCTGTCAGGGAAGCAAGGGTGGTCCACTTCCAGTCTTCTTACAGCCTGTGACAGACTGCAGATCAATGCAAGTCAACTCCCTGTATAGCTATCCTTATCTCAACTAACAAAAACCCTTGGTCCTCCTATTATTGCTTATACTCTCTCTTCAACAAAATTAGAGATAAGGGCAAAATAGTTTCTGCCTGATAACAAGGGGGTGAGGGGGTAAGGGAGGGGGCAGGGGGGTAAGGGAGGGGGTGGGGGGGAAGGGGGAGAAATGACCCAAACATTGTATGCACATATGAATAAAATAAAAATTC